TACTTTGTTTGGTTCGTGCTTTTTCTCCGACAAACACAAATAATACACAACAAAATAAAAATCAATCGATATCCACAATTTGTTTGATATACTGCCACCAGCGTCCGAGTCAACACATCCACGCTCTTTCCACACAGCCCCAAAATGCCGAAATGAAAACCCCATTTAGAGGATCGATAAGGGATATTTTCGTAAGCTGTAATCAATTTGTTTTTCTAATAATGTAATAAAATAGATAAAAAAAACGTAAACTCGTAGACACGGGCAAGGTGTAAAATGTAATAATTTTATTCATCCGTAATTTGTACAAAGATCTTATTTTTTGTAAGCGTATAAAGCACATTTCACAGTAAATGTCGTAATTCGTAAGCAATTTCCAATTTTGATTCTAAACACAAATTATCAAATATAATATCATAATGTAAAACGAATTTGCTTTATCTGTAAAGTGTAAAAATCATTTTTTTACTGTAAATGTAACTTTCATTTTATTTCCTGTAAAACATAAATGCCTTTATTATTTACTGTAATCTGCACCAGCTATTCCCCTTGACCCCTCCTCATTTACACACGGTTACGAGAAGAAGTAACCGTGATTTAGACAACTTTACTCCCGGTCTGACTCACGTATCATGCCTGCCTCAATTCCATCAACCAACGATCAAAGCTATGACACAGATTGGTCGAATTTGAAGTTTAAGACTTCCGTTAATTTATTTAATGTGGATCATATTTTGTTGAAATGGATCCGTGATATCCTGTATGTTTGGTGTCGACCTAGGGCGTCCTATAAGCAGTTCCCCTAAGTCATCGTATTTGTGTGGACAAGTGAAAGTTGATCAACTTGATGAGACGTGTTTATGATTGGAACAACACTCGTTATCATATTTTACAACTTTTACGCAACAAATCCGGAATCTACCTTCACCAGTTATGTATTCAAAACATATCTCTGTATAATGGAATGTTCAAATACCAGTAGTTGTTGTGTATAAAGATGGTGGTAACACAATTTGCCTGTTCTCATCTTCGCCGTCATCTTGGTTGATTTGACCCGAGGCCGAGATTTGACTTCATCCCATTATGGAAAAACCACCAAGTTTACTCGCAATCATCGTGGTATTGATCAGTCTTCTGACATACTGTTTACACTATGTAAAAGGTAAATTTGCAATTCATTATGTTATTCATAACTCTCGATCACTTCTTACAATGTGCATTTGAAGAGAGGATGGAGTATTACACCACTGTTACAAGAACCGTGATTACACCGAGGACTAAGTAAATTAGTACGTACATCTCATTACTATTTTTAGAAACGTAAACAACAGAGTCGAAACTAGAACAATTAAAAACAAACTGGGCTAAATTACTAAGAATATAATAAGTATAGAAAAAGTACTCGCCCGCCAACTGTGACATTGTAGGAGAATAAATAAAAGGTTTAGGGGTTGAGGTGGGGGTACATCGGAAAGTCTTTCTCGCATTCTAAATTAGCATTTATGCATTTAATTTTATGCAATTAAGTTTACATGCCAGCGATCTGAATATGAAGGGTTTATACGTATATGCTCTTTCAAATAATTACAGTTTCATCTAAAGCATTTTGTGAGTAGTTTAGAATTATAGCTTTAGTTTATTGTTTTGTTACCATATTTGTATTCATTGGGCATCACTCAAGCGATGTATACAAAATTAATATTGTCTACTTTCATATCCTAAATTGCTATATACACCCACCATTGCCTGTAAAAATATAGATAAATGAAATTGTTTAATAATTTAATTTTGTTGGTTTAGTATATTAATTTTAAATAATCATTAGAATAGAATCATTACCGTTTCTTAGCAATAACTTTTGAAAAAACAAATTTTCAATTGAATTTGGTTGTTGTAAATTCATACCGCTGTGATAAAAAAAAATACTTCTGCGTAATTTAGGGAAAAAAACATGAGGAAAATCATTTGTTTTTATTGATACATATTGTTATAGGAATACCACCTGACAGTAGAGTAGTAGTTCTATTTTTAACTATTCATGCATTGTTAATCGTTGTTAATCATTGTTAATTGTGATCATCGTTTGTGATCATGAATGGTTTAGCTTGCAAATTTTTTGTTCAAGTAATATCCAAGCTACCCTCCCTGGTTTCACATGGTAGATCCCTTAATGTATTTTATCATCAAAACAACTATGTTTTTCTAGAAACTTTTTACACGTAGTGAAGTTTACATACTAACTTCTTTGTGTCATAGGTTAAACCTAGGTTTTTATTTGTGAAAAATAAATGTTTATGGTAGACTATTGAGACATGTGTTACTAGTAGGAATGTCTTACATACATATGTTATGTACTGTATCTTTGCCAACTTCTCACTGGGAGCCAGCTCAGTTTACATTGACCTTTGACCTGTAGATAAAGCAGCCTGGTACAGAATGCAACAATGGTCTGTCTCCTCATTTACATTATTAAACGTGAAATGTATTTTTTTTGAGTTTATAGTGTATATAATTATCTTGTACTGTCCTAGACGGCTGTTTATATATTGTGTGACTTTCTTGATGGAGTTAAACATTTGTAAACACTGAAAGGGAGTATTGACCCCATTAAAAACAGATGTACATATCTGATGTGGTGGATCCACTGCCTGATATAAAAAAAAGGGGGGGGGGACAGGGGCGCAGCACCCTCATGCCATGGTCATGCGCCCCTTACCCTGGGGAGCAGATCCTCTGGCAACCATAACATTTTGATTGACCAGGGATCCCATGTGGCCACAGTCTTCAACTGTGACCTGTCTGATAGTAATTTTGGCCCCAAGGAAGCCATAGAATGCTCCATTTTAAACTCCACTCCCTGGTAGGGAGAACCCTATCTCCCCACCTGGTGGCGCCGCCCTCTTGCAGTTTTTTTCTAGAAAAACCCCTGAATAACAAATTAATTGTGTCTCTGAGCAATAAATAAATAACAGGATTTGAATATAACGATTGGATTGTGGTAACTGATGTTGAAAAAATCAAAATAATTTCAGCAGAACTAATTATGGGTAGTTGTCTTAGTGAATCATTACATAACATCAATGACATGAAAACTATAGTAAACCCACCCCCCTCTCTGAACACTCATTAAACACTTATTAATGAGACAGCAAGATAACACAATAGAGGTCAGTGACCTCCAAGGATTTGTCAATTTTATCTATCAAAAATTGTGATGGAATCACAACAGCATTGTTCCCATGGAAACAAACAGGGGTGAGATTTTGTTATTTTTTTCGCATTTTGTCAATAACTAATTGATATATGCAATGTAAGATATAAAAAATCCATAGTGCTTTAGTTTTTCTGCATTTTTAATTGTTAAAGCAAAGAAAAATTATACACATTTTTAGCCCCGCTGTCATCGCAGATGGTCAAGCGGAGCTGTTGGTATGGGGGTCTCTCCGGCGTCCCGCGTCCTGCGTGAAGTTTTTCTTTAAACAACTGAAACCGTAAGTCCAAATGCTTTGAAATTTGCAGCAATGGTACTTGGGGTGGTCCTCTGTCAGATTTGTTAAATTTGTTTCAAAATATGCAAATTTTGATTTTTAGTGAACATTTTTGTCATTTTTGGTGAAAAATGTTATTTTTGACAACTACTCCGAAACCGTAAGTCTAAATGCTTTCATATTTCCAGCAATGATACATGGAGTGGTCCTCTGTCAGATTTGTTAAATTTGTGTTAAAATATGCAAATTTGGATTTTTAGTGAATATTTTTGTAATTTTTGGTAAAAAATGTTATTTTCGACAACTAGTCCGAAACCGTAAGTCCAAATGCTTTTATATTTCCAGCAATGATACGTGGGGTAGTCCTCTGTCAGATTTGTTAAATTTGTGTCAAAATATGTAAATTTGAATTTTTAGTGAATATTTTTGTAATTTTTGGTAAAAATGTTATTTTTGACAACTAGTCCGAAACCGTAAGTCCAAATGCTTTGATATTTACAGCAAGGATACGTGGGGTGGTCTTCTGTCAATTTGTTAAATTCATCTCAAAATATGCAAACTTGGATTTTTAGTGAATATTTTTGTCATTTTTGGGAAAAAATGTTATTTTCGACAACTAGTCCGAAATCGTCAACCACAAAGCCACTTTACTGATTATTGTTCCATGACAATGATAAGTAGCAAACAAAATTTTGAGATATGATGAAACTTTTCCACCATAAGGAAGAAATGATGAGTGGCTCAAAAATCATCATTTTCATGTGTCTTTGACTTATTTTTGTGAGAAAAGTAGTTTTGTTTTGTGAACAACAACATGAAAACAGCCATCTGGCATAAAATTCAAGAAAATCTAGCATTATGTTTGAATAAAATCCAAGTATGTTAATTTCTCTAAGCATTATGTATAAGTAGACCAGTGGTAATATAAATTTATCAAATTATACATGAAGGCTATACAGCAACTGTATTGACCAACGTATAGCAAAGTTCGAAATAGCTTTTTTATACTCCGCTGTCAAAGCTTATCATATTAGTGACTGACCATCAGTGTCCGCATCAACGTTTTACTTTCTCAACTTCTTCTTGAAAACTACAAGTCTGATTGCTTTGATACTTGGTGTACCGGTATATGTACAGCCGAGAGGCTGCTTGTATGAAATGCTAAATTCTGGTGTTTTTGGTGCTATAATAATAATAATAATGATAAAGTTTTATATAAAATTTAAAGACATTAATTTAATATCTTGTATATTATTTAACAGTTGTAGGTATTTAGCTGGACTAATATTATTTTTAAGTAGACTGTAAGATCTGAGTTTGGCATCTGGTCTCTTAATATTATTAATCCACATGTTAGTACATTGTATAATGTTTATTAGTTTTCTGATAGAGTACATTACGAGAAACAGTTAAAACATCAATATTATGCAAGTCTTTAATTTTGTCTTCTCATCATAAGCCTTTAAAGCAGTGGTTCAAGTTCTCTAACTGCATTAACATTAATTGGACCATTGTTTTTAATGTTTACTTGACGGCTTGAATCTTTGAAATTAATGTCTTCCAGTTTCAAGCCTAAAGCCTATTGTATTACTACAAATATTAAAATGTGCTGACAATATTATAGGTGAAATTTTTCAGTAACATTGGTATCCCACTTTGTTGTCTTAACAGATATACCCCATAATTCAGATTCATATAGTAAAATCGGTAATTGTAACATTTAAAAAAAGTTTGGTCTTAAGTTTAAAATTGTTGGAATTGTTGATTTGCAAGCCCCATTTAGTAGCATAATTATGAAGTGTGTTAAGTAACGACTATTCTCCTATACGACTGCTTTAGGTATAATAATAACAGTGCTATTTTATTTGAATAGAAAATTAAATGCATTTATAGGGTTACAGGTGATGGAGCAGTCTATAATTAAAAGTTTGTTTGATTTCTATATGGAGTATGCCACACTTTACAAACACCATAATTTCAACAAACTTTGATATACAAATCTATCTGTCTTTTAAAATTATAAAAAAACACCAATAATATATTAATAAACATGTCATCCTCAATACTAGTGTACAAAATGTGGCAAAACTGTAAGTCAGTTTCTGTGTTGTCATATTTATATTTAACCCCCCACTAACACCAGCTGTAAATGAGTTGTTTGGTTTCAGTGTTACTGTAAAATACTTTATTTTCGCTTGGAATTCATTTTTGCTATTTTCGCTGAAAGAATGATTCAGTGCAAATAAAATCCAGCGAATATCCCTTTTGTCCTATATTTTACATGCAACTTGTAAAAAATCAGTGAAAATAAATTCCATATATTAAAGACACCAAAAAAGTCTTTTCAGCGAAAATCAATTATTTTACAGTATTGTGCAGTATATCAAGTGTTCAAACTGTGTAGGCGGTTGGAATGGGTTGGAATGTTTGTAGGCGGTTGGAATCCCTAACTTTATGAACAAGTTTTGTGTAATCAACTTGTATAACCTTGTACAAACAATTTACATTAAACATGATGGAATAAATCAATATGTTTTAACTCACAACACAGTAATATCAATTACATCATGTTGTTAAAACATTAGTCAAACTAAGACTAAGCTGCCATAGTCTAGAAATTGACGTTGGAAGACATACATTGCCCCAAAACACCAGCCGATGAATGAATTTGTAAAATATGTAAAACAAAAGAAAATGAAATACATTTTATAATTTTCTGTCAAATATATACAAATGAAAGACAGGAACTTTATGAACAATTCAACAGAATGTACAATAACTTCTCAACACAAAACTACACAGACAAGTTCAAAATGATTTAATGACAGAGCCATCCCTGCCTAAACATGTCATGAGCTACATAAACAATTCTTTTACTAAAAAAACAAGCACTATTAACTACACAGTTAATCATATTATATTAATTTTAAAAAAAAACTTTATTATTTACAAACCAAAGAAGAATTAGGCTTTATAATAAAGAATTATTATTAAAATGAACATTATTGTAAATTTCTTGCTATGGATTATTTAAAAAAAAATGTCTGCCATCTTGGAAATGCCGTGTAATTGTTCCATATTCGATATTTGTATTCCTTTTAAAGTTGGATGCATATACAATTTACTATATGCACTACCACAGAATTATGATGACAGATGCATAACTATTAAACATATATATAAAAAAATGGACATACAAAACCTGAAAAAGAAATGACAATTATAACAATTACCAAAGTAACAGATACACATACCATGTCAGTAACCTTAGCCAGCCCACACCACCCTTGCTGTACTCAGTGAATGTTGTTCCTGCATGTCCGTTTGATCATTTTCCTTTTCATATGCTAGTCTTTTGAATTGATTTTCTGTATATTGTAGAAGTCGAATTGTTGAAGTTTAATTTCTGGGGATTTGTTGTGCAGAGTTACCATTTGTGATTGGATTTCAAATTCAAAAAAAAAATGTATATTATTAAATTTGAATATTTGATTTTTAATGTAGTGTATTTTATTGTAGGGTATTTATTTAACTGCCAGTGGAATAAGCAAAAAAAAAAACCCAGTGAATAATTTGCAGTGCGAAAACGCGAAGTGCGAAGACTTAATGGATTGACCTCTGTGCTTGCATGTATGCCTTCATCAGTCTGTCTGTCCACCCATACATGCATCTCAGACATGCCATGGTCCATAAAATTCAAACTTCACACACACTTTGGATACATATTGCATCCATTCGTTTCATGATTTGATTCAAGATGATTGGCCAACATTTTAATGTTTAAAAATTCATTAAAATCAAAAATTGTCATTGTATTTTGGAGGGTGCCTTATGACTACTATGTCTTGATCATAATTTTCGAAAACATGCAAAAAAATTAATGTGGGGTTTATTTTGTGCATGGCCTATCCTCTGTTGCCATGTATATTATGTTTTCTTTTCCATGTTTTTTGAACTATTTTAAGGAAAAAAGATTATCCGGCTTTGTAAAATTACCAAATCATAATATATCATGTTATACATTTAACTTAATATTAAAGTTGCACTATGAGATCATGTCCATGTTGTATTGAGGTCATGGAACTACATCTGTTACGTGAAACATTGCATTATCTGAATTTGTGCAAATTGTAGGAATATGTATTTAAATAAAAATGATTTTCATTACTTAATTTGATTTCCTATTTGATTGGGTGTTCAAATTCCAACACCTTTGAATATAGTTCCATCATTTGAATGTACAACGCTTCGATTGCTTCTGTTCCAAATTACTACAGCACGCAATAATTACTAGCATGAGTGAATTCAGAGAATTATCAAATAATTCCTGTCATTCACAAATATTCATACTATTAAATACTTCACATAACACTCCCACGACTCCAATAAATCTTTAGGAATAATGTCAGAGTGCAACTGTAAGGCACTCGTTTATTTTTCAACAATCTACACCATTCGCAAATTCCCCCACTGCCCCCTGCCTTATTACTCTGTACAACAGAATGTGAATACCCAGATAATTTACGAAACACAAGTGAGTGTGCTCTCCTAATAGAGTTAAAACTACAAAGTGTAAAATTAGACTACAAAAATGCACAATATGGAATATCACAAAATACAGAAAATAAACTAAGCTATAAAAACAAGTTGTATCTGATTTCACTTTAATAACAACATTTCTGTTCTTCCTATGTTTAGCTAATGGAAAAGATGACGCAAACAAGAACAATAATGGTGTTCCAGAGTGGCATGGAACAGCTTTGAGCATGGGTATGGACATAAAACCAAGTAGACAAGTTACATTTATTGAAAATCCTCGCCCAACTACCATGGATGTATCGGCCATCTTGAATTTTGACAAAAATACGAAAAGCAACTCGGCTCAAGTTGATTTGAAAGCTAGCCCGTCCATGATTGATTCTGTCCGACAAACTGTCGCATTCTCACTGAAAGATAAAGACAATGTGCTCCCATCAAGGTTGGCGACGCAGCAAAATGAGATGAACGAAAAAGATTCTGTTTCGAATGGAGGCAAGGAAAATGTGAGAATGACACCTACTCCGATTTTAAATCACTCAGTAGTGACAAAAAAAGGAGCTGCATCTGTGGAAATATATCCAACAACCCATGTGAACAATAAACATGCAAGTAGTATTTTGTATTCTGAAATAAGGAATGACTTGAACATTGACTACACTGGAGTCAAACCATCCACTCTAGTTACTCAGCATGAACATCATCAATTGCTGTCATCAACTCAATTGAAAAAAAATAAAATAAGTTTATCTGAAATTCACCCTACAAGAAGTAGTGCTCCTGATAAAGAGTCTGCACCTGCTGTGAATGCCTTTAATGATAACACCAGGATGCAACTGACAACAAGTCCTGCAGCCAGTCATTTGTCCTCCCTGAGTGAAGGAATTCTACCCACACCAATTGTTGATAATAAATACCAGTCTGCTCCTCAGGGTAAAGAGGACAAGGAGATGGAAGCTGAATTTTTTTCCCAGCAACCGGGATCAGTTCTAGAAAGACATGAAACTGTAACAACTGGGACTACCAGGACTCAGATTTTCTCATCATCAGTTGACATGAACAAAAAAGTCTCTCAACCTACAGAATCACATAAACAATCAGTAGAAAGCAATGTTGCCTCAAAATATTTGCCAATTACAATTGTTCCAACTCCTACTGTTCCCAATTGGCCAGAGGATGACAAAAATTACAAAGATGGAGATGAGAAAACTGTTTACCAAACAAGCTTGTATCCTGATAATGCCAAGAGAACACCAGCATTGCCATTGCAAACGGTTACCAGGTTTGATCTCACCAAGATGGAGACCAATGCAGTTGCCATGACAACAAGTGCATCTCCAACAGTGAATAATGAGGTCAAACCAGGGACTCGCCCTTCTGCTAAACCTGGGAAAATAGGTCGTTCAAGTCACCTTTTGAGTCCATTTCCTACAATGCAGAGCAATGCTCCAATAAGCCAGTCATCACTCGACCATGTTGCAAAAGGAAGTAATCGCCCCAGTCATGTGACATTAATCCACCAATCAACTCGCACTGTTACTGACCAAGCACCTCATCCTTCAGAAGTTTCCAACAAAAAAAGTAAAGTGTTGTATCTAAGTAAAGGATACAGTCTACGACCCATGGCAACACAGCCCATGGCAACGCAGCCCATGGCAACTAAGAGCCATTTTATACCTCCCACTTCAGCTTCTCCAACCATTAATCTCCCAGTGGGTAAATCAATTGCAACAAAAGTACCCGACAAAATAAAGCACCCAACAACAACAATTTCATCCAAAGCAACTATTAAGCCTTCAATATTTCCTTCAGTGGCTTATCCAACTTATCCAGAAATCTATATAAAAATTACCATGATGTTGTCTTGGTCAGAGTTTTGTCCACGTAGACAAGAATTTATCTCAAACCTGGTGAAAATCGCTGAGCAGGTATCAGCCATCCAGACAAAATTCAGCGTGGTTCTCTTGAACGATTATAAGTTTTGTGATAAGGACATGGTGAATATGAAGAGAAAGTCGGAGGTCAGCGTCGATCTCTATTATGCTGTTAAAATGAAATATAACAAGAAACTGACAATCAAATCAGGATTCACTATGGAGAGTAATCTACACTACTTTGGCAACTTTGAAAAAAGTGTAAGAAATACATTTCTATTTTATGAACAATGATTACCGAACATTTGTTGACTGGCAATTTCAATATGAAACAAAATCGAATCATGAATGCCAAGAAAACATTTCAGCCACAGTCTTAACATGCATGTTAGTATTACTGGTAGATGTTGAAGCAGAGAACAATTTCAGCCACTGTATGTCTTTATGAAAGTTAGGCTGGATCCCAAACTTGGGAGAAATTAAGAAAAGTAATACTGTAAAATACTTTATTTTATTTGGAATTAATTCTCACTGAATAGCCTTTTGGGGTATTTTGTATGAATTTTATTTTCACTGTTTTTTGATGCGTTGAATGTAAAATAAAGGAAAAAAGGTATTTTATTTTCACTGAATCATTCCTTCAGCGAAAATAGTGAAAATAAGCAAAGTATTTTACAGTATTTTTTGGCAAAGTGACAAAATTTGATCTTGGGGACAGAAAGTAAATTTGTTGTATATTTTTTCTTTACTAGATACACTATATATCAATTAGTGGTGTAGATGTACAAGAACCAACCCAGTCAATGGTTGGGCAGAGTGCACCATATTTTGTGGGATGGACCATTGGAATTTGTATTAGTACTGCAGTGTTTCTCTTTTGTATAATATCAGGCACATATAAGGTAACATTTTAGCTGCATGCAAAATGCATGGTTGAAATGTAGTAATAATTTATCTTCTTGTTATCATTATTATTATCATAATCCTTATCATCAGCACTATCATAATCATCCTTGTCATTAATGATTATTAATAATATAAACATAATTATTATTAATATCTCCCATTGTACACCTGGTGTCTGTGATAGTCCGGGAGCAAAGTCTCAAAAGATTTCAGGAAATTGTGTTCATTTTAATACTCCATTATATGGCAAAAGTTTTTAATGTAAATCTGTTGTATGAAATCTACTAATTATTGTGCGGGTGTCGATATCATTGATAGGGTTGATTAATATATGCAGGAGTGAAAACTGAATTAGATAAAAGAAAAACAAATAGAAAGCATATCCCTCTATGATTCAAATAAGGTACATGATGATAGATGATGTCCTTTTTCCTTGGTATAAAAAAATATTCTCAGATTTATTGGCCCACTTTAGATATTCCACTGCAAACCAAGTTATAATTTATAAAAGTATATTTGAATGAAGTAATAGGCTCAGAAATATTTTATTGTATCTTTTAAAAAAAGAACGTTTTCATCAGTTGTTAGCAATAAATATATAGGCAACAAAAAATAAAAAGTGATACATGTACGAGTAACATCAAATGATCAAATTATGCAATTCCATTTCTTATTGTGAAGCATCTGTTTACAAAATTCTTTTGATCATTTCATCATCTCAATTAACAAAGTTGAAATCACACATGCTACATGAAAACATTCTTTACTGACACTCATGGAACATACACCTTGCATAGTTTCACACTGTGGTACAAAACAGCCTCGGCATAATACACATACAAAATTGAAATTTGATATTTTGTTAACAGATTTCATTTTGTGTCATTTTCTCATTGAAACGTGTTACCCTAGATATAAATTTAAGAATAATGGAATGCCAGCAATCCAGGGATTGACCAAAAAATTTATGAAATTTTCCATACATCAATTGTATTGAGTTGATCTGAAAATTTGATATTTTGTTAACAGATTTCATTTTGTGTCATTTTCTCATTGAAACGTGTTACCCTAGATATAAATTTTGGAATAATGGAATGCCAGCAATCAGGGATTGACCAAAAAATGTATGAAATTGTTTTGAGTTGATCTGAAAAATTGATCAAGGGACCACAACATGCAGCTTTATTTGCAGTTTACAAACCGGAATTCTTGGATGCTACAATAATCTATTTCTTTGACAAAGTAGGCTTGGAGCAACAACTGGCAATTGGGACTATAGTCTGGCAGGGAGGACTTGTGAAGTTGAGCACATACTGCCCCACTGGCGTAGTTATAGATATGACCGCAGGACCCTTAGATGTGCCATTTGAGCTGAATATATGATAAATCTATACTAGGCAATGATGTGAAAGTTGTAGTTTCACAACTTTAGATGACTTTTTGATTGGACAGAAATTATTGCAACTAATCTTCATCATCATCATCATCATCATTATCATCATCATCATCATCATCATCATCATCATCATCATCATCATCACATATACCGGTTCTCACCATTATCATGTGTAATATTTTAAAGGTTGGGGACCTGCATTTGTCGGTATTATATTTGATTCTCATAATGTTAAAAAAAATATCTCGAACTCGCAGATTCGAAAAATTCGACTTAGAAGGATGCAGATGGCTTCAATGTATGCCAGTGCTGGTGAGAGTGTATTGACCAATAATATGTCTAATGAGGACACTGTGCAGCTGACTCCAATCACTATGCAAAATAATGGAGAGACGAAGAAGATAAAGAAAAAATCAAGGAATTCCTTGTTGGCTGCTATCAATCATGCCATGGAATTGGATGAACCATCCCAGCAGGTAGGAGTATAACATACTCAGTTTACATACAGAAATACTACTGTGAAATCTGTTAAAATGGTACAATGCATAAGAGGGAATGTCGCTTCTAATAGAGCATCCACACATATGAGAAATGATGAATGAGTGCAGCTTCTATTAGGGATGCTGTTTCTAATATAGAATTTACTGTACTATTCAATCCATATTATACTATATGGGGTTCCCATCTTGAATCCAGACCAGAAAAAACAAACATACATTAAACCATCTCTCAATGAAATTTGACCACATTTTTTATTTTTGTGTGAAAAAAAGCCTTTCTATGTGATTATTCTATCCACATGATATCTCCTATCCATGCTCTATTAATCTATTTATTAATCTATTTACGGTTGTCTCATCCATGCGATTATCCTATGTTTGTGATTATCCTATTATGTTATTATTCAATCCATGCGATTATCCTATTTATGTGAATGTCCAATTCGTGTGATTAT